TCCGAGCGTATTCAGCAATTATTTGACAGTTTTACTTCAGATTTACAGGGGAAACCCAAGCTCGGTTACTCTGCTGCTTAGATTTATTCTTTTACCCGTGCATGTGGAAAGACTAAATATAATATTACCGATTGGTTATTGGTTGTTAGGGATGGGTATCGTTTAGGTTTTATCCGATACCGGTGCCAAATCGGTACTTTTGAAACGGTGCCGGTGCTTAAACGGTGCTCAAACCGGTGCTTAAAGAATAGAGAACACAAAATTGGTCCAAAAACCTCTCATGTTCAGCTGTTTTTTTGTAAAAAGATAACAATGTTAGCCTTTTCTGCAGCTATGGGGCATATATGGCATCACTCTTGGCTGGAAGCTTAATCAATGGAAAAAACACAAACTTTGTCCAAAAACCTCTCATGTTTAACTGTTTTCCACTTTTTCTTTTGTCATTTTAGCCTTTTTGGCCAGGGTGAAGGGAGCATCTGCCATCAAACAAGAAGACAGCCGCATGTAGCTATGATGATGTTTGCTAGTTCACCTTACATGCATTAATGTAATAAGTGGTTAGCCTACTCAACGTAAATTACACACGAACAACATTAAGCTACTCACGCAGAGAAGAACGGCTGCTGCTGCATCATCCTCATCATTTCTGCTACACTGGCAGGGCTAGGGGCCAGGACTCTCCTCTTCGTGTTTTTGGGGGATGTTGCTAACTCTGGGTTTTAAAAAAAACGCTATGCGTCTCCAGGTGTTTCATCGGATTCGAGGTGTTACCTCCTTTGACAGTATCAGCTTAAAGCACTTGTTGCAGGCTGCTGAGTTTGCATCTTTTGCTGTGAAGTACAGCCAGACTTTTGACCGCTTCGCCTTGGACATTTTTAATCTGTAGCTCTGCTCTAAAAGAACGTACGTACCTGGGCCCGCCTACTATCCTCGGAAACGTAAAATGATTGGCTAGAAGTGTATCACAGCTCAGGAAAAAAAAAGCACCGAAATAAAGCACCGAAATGTGCGCTGCTTTTCGGTCTGGTTACTACCGTTTATGTAAGAACACACCGGTACCCATCCCTATTGGTTGTCATGGTGATATGGCTGTTCATGAAACATAAAACACAGCATTCAGTGGTGAAGGTTAAGGTTGATGTTTACGTCTTCACCAGGCGGGTTTGAGACGGAGGGATTTTTAGCTCTTTTGTCCTTCTGTGATATAAGGACTCAGTGTGGTGCCCTGCCTAGTTACTGAGAGAGGAGTCTGGTAGAAGCGGTGCACTCAGTGGTTGTCTTTGCTCCTCCTCCTCTCACGCTTTGATAATGACTCACCGGGGAAGAGAATATCTGGCCAACCAGAGCCGAGCATCCTTTAGGGAAGCGGAGCCTTCGTGGTACCATGTCTGCTGGCACTGTGATTGGTCAGAGAGAAAATGTTTAGATCATGCAGCCAGGTGTTCTGAAGCCCCACCCACACTCCAGGTCAGCTGACCTCATCCTGCGACCTCTTCGCTCGCTCTTCGTCCTTCCTGGATTTCTTCAGAGCGTCCGGACCGACCACGGACAGCACACTGCGCAGCCTGAAGACACACACACACACACTTACTTCCTGTCTGCTTCCTCCCTGTCACACTGACCAAGTTTGACAGGTTTTTTAATTAAATTATTGGCCCAAAATATTCCTAAGATGACTGCTGAGAGTGTTCTACAGAAGATTACAGAAGTTATTTTGCTCCACCTTTCGCGGCGGTCAGCTGGTCCCTCTCCAAATAACGTGATTGGCTCCCCCAGTGCACGGAGGCCGGCTTTCACCTCAGCATCATCAGTGGACACAGTGATCTGTCGGGCTCGTCGCCGTCGCTCAAACTCAGCAAGCGCTTCCTGCTGCCGCTCACTGACCCGCTCCTCAATCTCCAGAGTCTCCCCTGCAGGGCATCAAGGAAAAACAGAGTCAACCAAATTCCTGCTATCAACTAATCACAGATCTGATTGAGCAGATATTATTGATCACATGATTGATCAGAGCCTTGACTGTCGGCACTGTGATCAGCAGAGGGTGGAGGTTCTTCTAATTTCTAATAATTTTTAAGAGACATTTTATCAGAGAAACTGAACAAACTGCTAACCTGATGAGATGTTGATGTTTCCCGCCTCAATTCCCGCCCTGACTGCATCACTTCCTGTTGCTGAGCTGCTCGCCACATTGGCGCTCAGACGCTCCCGCTCTTTCTCCTCCAGGCTTCCATAGAAAACTCTGCTCTTCTTCACGGCCGGAGCCACATCCTCCTCATCGGACATATTGACTTCTTTTTTCTGGAGAAACAACAAAAACACATGAGGAAGATAAAGGTGACATTTTTAATGACAAAAAGAAAAACTGCTCAGAAGAAAAACCTTATTGATCCATTGAGCAGCAGCAGAGTGGCTGAAACGCAAACAATCACCCTGATCAGTAATAAGTGATCAATCAGCAATGTCAATCAGACACAGTAGCAGATTCATACTATACTTGGAACACCTTTATTTTTAACTTCCTGTTTGAGCTGCTGCAACTTCCTGCTCAGCTTCACTCGCTGCTGTCGGTCAGACAGAATGACATGCTCACAATGATCAGCATCTGTTACAATGATGAAATGACCTTAATGCACCTGCTGACATGTTAATCTCACCGCAGAGCTCCACCTCACTGGCCTACAGGTGTGGGTCACAGACAGGTGCTGCACCTGAGGCATGGATTTCCTCTCATCCAGGTAACTTCAGGTTATGCTGGGTTTCTGTACTATTATGGTCAGAGACTTCCTCCTCGTGTAAATCACTGTGGTAACTGATGGGATTTACCCCAGGTTAGAGATCAACAGGTATGAAATCACGCCTACTGACCAATCACCATTCCTGGATGATCCCTCAGAGCTCTGCAGGGAGAGTTGCAGGGTGCGTTTCCCTGGTCGTCAGTAGTAAATACTCAGTTTTATTCCTGTTTAAGCATCAATATCTGAGCACAAAGCCCCTTTTCCATTAGTACGACTGGTTTTCCATAACAATCAAGTACCACCTGATCTGTGTGATCGTTGTTATAGCAACGCTGCTCAGTTTCCTGTGAAGTAATTAATATCCAACATGAATGCTACAACAAAGGTGGACGTGGAGGCGACGATATACCTGCTGCTCGGTCTGTGGCTTTTCGTTAGACTCAGGGAACAGGACATTATTCTTTGTAGCCATTTCCTTTCGTTGCCTGTTTTCAAAAATGACATTTTAGATTTTCGTGAACAAGACGCTCTCATGACTCATTGAGTGACGCCACTGACCAGCCAATCAGCGGCATGCAGTCTGACGATGTCACATTTAAGTACCTGCTTGGAACCCCAGCCCGGCAGATATTAAAAAAAGTACCTGGTACCAGGTACTATGACCTGATGGAAAACCCTGGAAACTGTGGTGAGTACTAATGGAAAAGGGGCTTAAAACACCTGTGCTGTACCTGATGACCTCAGGTCGAGTCAGTTTTTAGATTTAATTTAGTCTTCTTAAACAGCAACGCGTCTGCAACTGAGAGAAAAACACTGCATTAATGTTTCTGGAGTAAGTTATGTTAAGAGTCCATTTTTAAGGTTCCTCACTGAGAGACCTGACCCACAAGGATCTGCGTGGTGGCCACACTCAGACCTGTTCCAAACACTAAGGAAAGGAGCTTCAACGCTTCCGTTGCTGAACAGACGAGACACTGGAGCATTCTTTATGAAAATGGAGGAGTCCCATAATTCATAGCGACAGACTTATCTGACCATGAAAACAATGATATAATAACCAAAGTGGAGCAGAGCATGAAAATTTTCATCATAACTTTTCCATTTCATCCACAAGGTATATATATATATATATATTCATAGTTTTTAACAGAAGCTGTTAAACTCACAGCTGAACTCTGAACATCACACTGCTGGAAAACTACTTCCTGTTGAGTTGTTACTGCATTAAGAACAAATTTACATAAACTCTCTAAACATTAAGAACTCTATGAGCTGTTCAGTAAGTTTAAGCTTGTGAATATTCATCCAGTTGTAATACACTGTGTACCACCGTTGCGCCTCGTTTCAAAGTTTAAGGCGTCTTCAGTAAATCCAGCAGACTTTTGACCTCCATCAGTACATCTGAGTCTTTGTTCTGCTTTAAAACTCCACCCTGGTTTTTCACAGGCTTTGGCACAACAACGGCCTTCGCAGAATCAGGCTGAGAACATGCTGTGCTGAATTCAAATTGGTGATTAGTTTGAAGACCGCGGACATATTTACAGGCGCCGCTCTAGGTGACCTTTGACTCCGTCCCCGTGTTAGGGTCAATGATAACGAAAACAGAACTTCGTAGTTCAGACCTCTAAGCGTCCTCCTGCAGCTCTGCACCGATCAGTAATCGCTAACTCCTCACCGTTTCTCACCTGTGTGTTTCAGGTAAAGCTTCGCGCTCACCGGAGTCAGTGGACAGCGCGAACCCAGAGCCTCTTCAAGGGCTGAGTGTCTGTAACGTGCCGGAGCACGCGCTAACGGATGAGGGGGTAGAGCAGAGTATGGCTGATTTACGCTTTGACGTCTCTCTCACCTGTGCAGTTGAACACAGCGGCTCAGAATGCCGTTAAACCGTTCAATGAGAGAAACTTACCGGAGGAGACGAAGGACACACCGACGCGGAGCACCGTGACCCGGAAGTTCTTCCCTGAAGTGCCACCGGGTCAGAGGTTGCACACTTCCGGTGGACGCAGCAGCTGCAGAAAATAAACAGAGAGAGAAACTGCGGGAAAGAGCATTACAACTCCTCTATCAGGTACCTGCACACCTGTTCACACTGAGGGTATCCGCAAGGACTGTCCGTTACCGGTCACTGTAACGTCACTGCGACTTTACTTTAGCGCAGCTTAGCTTAATTTAGTTTAGCTTAGCTTAGCTTCTGTGAAACCCATCTGCGTGCGCACAGTGCGCATGAGTGGCGACTTAAGGAGCGGCAAGGTTAGGGGTCAGAGGTGAGACTGTTATAGATATTTCAGCAGCCAGTCAGATGAGACCATTAAATGTGTCTGTATAACCTCCAGAGCATCCTTTAGAAAAGCAAGCGAGCTAATCATGCTGCTGGTTCCTGTCTGAGCGGTAGGTGTAGTTTATTTAGTTTCTATTGCTTTAGAAGCAGTTGGACGCCCTGAGCTCCGCCCTGAGGCCCTTACCCCGGGAATCTCTCGGTTACCCTGACGTCAGTAATCAGGAGACTTCGGGAGTCAGTGTTGCTGTGGTGATAAGTTACCTGGACTCCTGCTGTGGCTTGATATCAATACGTTCACCATCAGGATTAAACACAGAGATCAAACAGTGTGATCAATGATTCTGATCACAAATATCAGGAAACATTTTTTAGATCTGGTCGATCCTAATTATTGATCTGATGGAAACGATAACTGAAGCTGATTGCTGTTATTGATCAGATTTCAGAATTAATTAAAGCTCCTGTGTCTGAGCTAATGATCTATTGAGTCGGTGTTGTTGAAAGGTTGAAAAGCCAAACGGCTGCTCTCTGGGACTCTAAGTTTAACCTTCATCACTTGACTTTTTTCCTTCCTCTGAAAACTTTTGAAGTCATCCTGCTCGATGTAGGCATCATCATGACAACAGGAGTTGTAGTTTTATTTTTAAATTACAGCCAGATGTTACAGCCTCATGATATTCACAGTAAAAACACAACAGCTTGTTTCTTTTTGTGCCACCATCAACCTCAAAGCCCGTAAGGATAAGCTAAGATAACCCTTTATTAGTCCCACACGTTGGAATTTTTTTGGTCACGAAAGCATCTGGAAATAGGAAGGGTTCTGATTGGCTACACTGACTTCAATAGAACCGTGAGATGTTTTATTTTGAAAATGTCCAGGAAATGTGTGCAGTAAATCATATTCAGCAGGTTTATAGAACATTGAACTTGGAGGTGAATCATTTTCACCATTTTCACCATTCAGTAAGCATGTCAAAAAGCAAATCTGATCACTCAATCCATGTATTGATCGTCTGCTTTCAGCCTGGACTCTAAGTGAAAATGTTGAGGAGGAAACCGACTCGTCTGGAGCTTAAGATCGACGACACTGAGGAGTTCGAGAGCGTCAAGAAGGAGCTTGAGGTCTACTCACTTTTGTACCAATCAATCAATTAATCAGTAATAGTAAATGAGAATGAATAACAATCAGTAACATCTGACACTTTAAAGGAAGTAAACTTCAAACAGGACATTATCAGGTTTTCTTTTTCTTTAGGCCAGAAAACGTCAGCGAGAGGAGGCAGAGTCGGGAGGTGGAGTGGGTGGGGGATCTGTAATTGGTGTTGATGTAATTGGGGGTGGAGCCTCTGCCTCAGCATCGTCCTCCACAGCCGCATCAAGGGCAGAGCTTATCAATGAGCGAATTGGCTACAAGCCCCACCCTAAACCGGCGACCCTGCCGACCTTATTTGGAAGTTTACAGTTTTAATGATGAATAAAGTTTGAGCAGAAAAATCTTTGGAGTTTGGAGTATCGTTTTATTTTAAATGAGCAAACATAAAGAATCTCAGAGTGAATCAGAACCCCCCCCCCCCCCCCCCCCAGCATCATGTGACCTGGTCAGTCAGATGGTCTCCAGTAAGTGGGCCAGAGATGGAGTTCCTCGGCTTTCCTGCCTCAGTCAGGCTGGACTTTATTGACACAACAGCATCTGACAGCTGTTGCACATTCATACCAAGCTTTTCTTCACACACACAACTGTGTTGTATTCAGTCTGCATTCTTCATATTTTATTTTACCATTTTATATTTAAAACGTCTACTTTTTAATCCATGACTGTGGTTGTCCAGAGACTGCCTGTTGTGTGTTAATTCCAGTTGATAAAACTATCAAGTGGAATTAAAACTATTATTTTACCGCTCTGTGCACTAAATCACCTAATTAACTGAAGAATCTGCTGCATTTAGCTCATCTTCTTAAGAAGCGCTGCATTCTGTTTTTTGTCCTTTAGACATTTTTATCACCATTTGATAAGATTTCCACATGACCAATACAGGTGCTGTGTTGTTGTACGGCAGTGAGATGCCAAACTATGTTTATGGGAAGAAAAAATTTAGACTCATGTGTATTCATGGTGACAGGAGGCCATCTCTGGTGCTGTTTGACAGTTTACATTTTTGGCTCAATTATGATCTAGTGTACAATCCACTAAACATAATTTTTTTCAAGTCTGTAAAAATTTTGAAACCAAAATGCTAAATAAGGTCCCGTTTCCACTTTTAACTCAGACGAGAACTGAGCAGTTGCTTTTTTCAAATGTATTAACATTATTTTATTTGCACATAAATGTGTTTTCTCCACTTATACTTCCTCATAAATTCTGCATTTGCATCATCTTTTTTATAATCAACTTAATTTAAATAAATACACTTCTCTCATTCAGTTAGCGCTTTATCCTAGTTATGTAAACAAGAACCATTCACCACTGATTTGATGTCCAGAACGAACCTAGTTCAGACCCTCTCCACCTTCTTCATCCAGGTTACCTGCAATGTCTTTAAAATCCAGCAGATGTTGTTCTTGAGCAACACATCACCACAGTTATGACTATCGGGCATCACCTAGGGCTCAGTTCGTTATAGCCAATTTACTCCTTAACTCACCTGCTTAAAGTCTGCATAGAGGCATGGCCTCTTTGGCTGATAGGTGAAAAGCAACTCAGTGGTGTAGCTGTAAATGCTGAACTACACCTCTGGACTGCATTTGTGCTGTTCCAGCATTTTGAATGGGCATCAAACACTGGCTTATTTTCATACAGTTTATTTTCATAATAAAGGTACAACAATAATATTTTAAAAAGACGATTAGTGTCGGAACTCAGAAAAACTTGTATTTACAGTAACAGTCAGTAGGTGGAGCTCTCAGCTCTGATGTCCAAGAAGTGATGCTTACCAAACACTACTCAAAGTTCTTTTACTCTGAACACATAGCAACCTGAAAATATACAAAGTGCTGGTGATAAAAATCCAAGCTGTTTGGTCAAAGAAACTTTCTGGGGGGGGAAAAAAAAAAAAAAAAAAAACGCTTGTGGACGTGGTCTGTGTGATGAAACTGTGCATCATGTGCTATTAACCAATCAGCAGTGATGTGCAGAGAAACCCCGCCCCCTAAAAAAGGACGTAAACATTTTTATTTTTTAGTGTTTTTAGTTTTTGTTGGAACGCATTTTTGTTTTGTTCAAGTTAGTGTCTTCAATTAAGTTTAAACTGATATCAATGACATGTGGGCTCAGTTACCGCACGCGGTTTCTGTCTTTTAGATCTTTCAGATTTTAAGATTTTCCCAACTAAAAGCTTCTTCAGATTAATGGCAGAAATAAAAAAATTAAATTAAATAAAACAGTTTTAGTGTTCAGAGCTGATGGTCAAAGGGAAGGATGTGTGGCCGTTATAACAGAAGGGGGCTTCACATCGTTTCAACTAAAAAATAGAAATATTTGAGTTTAAAAAAGAAAAAAAAGAAAAAAAGCTTGCACAAACATTTTAGCAGCTTCTGTTTGTTTGTAGTGTTGTTATTGATTCAGTGTTTGTTTACTCTGTTTGTTTATCATTTAGTGTAGATCAATCGATCAATTACTCATTCAGTTTCTTGACTCGAGGCTGGCGTCCTTCCTGTAATGCAGTGTTTCGTGTTCTGATCTCGGAGTCTGCGATTGGCGATCTTACACTTTAAGGGAGTGTCCTCAGACTGGCCTCATCAACCTCATCACTTCTTCTTAATAGCAGCAAGGTCCCGCTGCAGCTCGGAGAACTTGGGCCGGTCCTCGGGGCTGTACTGCCAGCAGCGCTGCATCACTTTGTACACATCGTCAGGGCAACGTTGAGGGCAAGCCATCCTGTAACCTAGCAACCAGGAACACATGGTCACCACTTGATGATATCACTGATTTTGTGATGCAGCTGATTGATTATCTGAGTGTTTACCTTTCTCCACCTGTTCTCGAGCCTGCTGATTGGTCATCCCCGGGTAAGGACATACCCCCAGACTGAAGGTTTCCCACAGGAGGATACCGTAACTCCACACATCGCTCTCTGAGCTGTAACGACCTGCAGCGCCCAATCACAGCACAGCACACAATCAGCAGCCACTCTCTGCTCTGTTTTTATTAACTTCTGTCACAGACTCAACAGCTTCTTTAAAAATCAACAGGCATCTCAGGTACAGGTGTGTGTGTGTGTGTGTGTTACCATAGTTGAGCGCCTCAGGTGCAGTCCATTTTATGGGGATCTGTTTGAGTCCAGAAGAAGAATAAATGCCGTCATCCTCCTGACGACTCATCCCAAAGTCACTGATCTTCAGCACGCTGTTATCCCCGACAAGACAGTTCCTCGCTGCCAGGTCCCTGAGATACACACAGACACACACACATACACACACACACACACGCATACACGATGGTTAAACTCAGAAAATACTTAAACTTTGAACTCACTCCGAGTTTGATGGCAAGAACAAGTCTCTGCAAAGTTTTGACGGGTTTTATAACCCCGCCGTAACCGTGGTTACCTATGGATGCAGTTTTTGCTCTCCAGGTACGCCATCCCAGCCGCAGCATCAACTGCAAAGCGAAGCAGCTGTTTGGTCTTCAGCTCATCCTTCTTCTTTCTCAGGAATGACAGAAAGTCTCCACCTGGACTCATAAGACACACCTGTTAGAAACTGACCAATAACAATACAAGTTCACTCAATTTAAGCTTCACCCACCAGGAACGAGCTCCATGACAATGTAGATCGGCTGTCGCTGGGTACAAACGCCAATCAGCTTCACAATGTTCGGGTGGTCATACTGCTTCAGGATTCTGCAGCCAATCAGAGAGGAGCAGAGTGAGCGTTCAGCCAATCAGAGAGCAGAGTAAGTGTTAAGCCAACCAGAGAGGCCATTTTTTATATTTCTCACTCTGTTTAATTAATTTCTGAATGTGATCATCACCTCTTTCTTTGGTTAGAGGTAACTATCCCACGCTTCTCTTTCTGGAACAAACTCCTGGAGGAGGCGGGACTCTGGGCAGGTGTGGGATACTCACAGTGCCTCTGGTTCAGAGTTTTCCTCAGGCGGGTTGTCTCTGTAAGACTCGGGGTCACTGACTAAGGTCAGGTAACAGGTCAAAGTGCCCGATCCTCTCAGAGTCTTTGGGTGAAATCCAGAGAAACCTGTAGGTGTCACGGGGTCATCAGCCTGCTCTAAAAAAAAAGTGTTGGAGGTATGGAAGGTCATAAGCACCTCAATCCACCTCACTCCCCGAAGGCCAAAGGTCACTGATTGCATTGTATAAGCTGATCTAAGGCCACGTGTAATACGCTTGGCTGAAGATGAGCTGAGCGCTGAGGAGGATTAGAAGGCGGTGAAGCCTTAGCAGAGTCCTGGCAAACTTAAACAGAGAGTGAGGGGTGAATGCTAGGGGGAGCTCCTTTTTGATCCATGTCTTTAATGTCATGTAGAGTTCTGAGACAGAACCAGTGGAGCAGCAGAACTGCATGACAGATCCTTTCTTTAACACAAGGACCAAAGCTGTGATCAGGTATCACCCTGCTCAGCCTCCCTTATGGAGAAGAGATTCGATGTAGTTTTGGCCTTTCTCTGACTGTCCCATCTACAGTTTGAGACAACCCTAATGACCATCACTTCTTGGACATCAGAGCTGAGAGCTCCACCTACTGACTGTTACTGTAAATACCAAATCCAGGAGGATCTGACTGGAGGAGCGCAAGTCGACCTTGGTGTGATGAGCCTTTTTCCGGGTTTTTAAACTCACATCTTTCTGTTCCTGAGGCTGATAGATGGGTTGAACTTTCTGAACTTGCTTTATAATTTTCTCTTCTTCTCTTCTGGCACCGTGGATAATGATTCAGGGTTCAGGTTTGGCTTCCAAAGTCAAAACCGTGCCCTTAACATTCAGCTCGGACTCAGCGGGTATAGAAGAGGGTTTCCTGTTTTCCACCTTCAGGGTTTCTACCTGAAGGCGGAAAACTCTGGACCTGTTGAGATGGGAGGAGACTATGGAGGGATTACTGCTCTGGGAATACCGACATTCCAGCAGGAAAGGGAGAAAAGGACGTCTGACATCGCCCAATTAGATGCTGACATAACAACCCAAGTTTGACAGGGAGTACACAGACAGACATTTGGGCTGTTTCCCGATATGTGGTGTAAAAACTGTTTGATTGATTTGCTACTGACTGATTTGTTGATGATGATGATGATGTTGATGGTGCTTGCATGAAGGGCTCACCTGGCCTCAGACAGAAAGCGGATCTTCAGCTCTGGAAGCAAATCCTCTTTACACGTTTTCACGGCGACCGGTGTTTTGTCTCGCTGCAGAGTCCCTTTGTACACCTCGCCAAAGTTACCCTGTAATAAAGACAGCAACGAACGACGGGAAATGAAGGCGGTGAGTGAAAGATGAGTATAAGGACAGGTAGATGCCTCACCTTTCCCAGCAGGTCCCCCAGCACCACAT